GATTCTGCCAATCTATGAACATGGGAGATCTTTCCATCTTCTGTAGTGTTCTTCAGTCTCTTTCTTCATTAAGTATTTCTCTTGTAGAGGTCATTTACATACTTTGTTAGTTTATCTAGTTATTTGAGTTTTTCAAGGCTATTGTAAATGGAATTGTTTTCCTATATTCTTTCTCAATCTGTTCATTGTTGGTGAAAGGCTACTGAGTTTTGTAAGTTGATTTTGTATCCTTCTACTTTGCTGAAGCTGTTTCTGATGTCTAGGATTTTTGGGTGAGTTTTTCAGGTTTTTAAGGTATAAGATCATGTTCATCTGTGGAGAGATGTTTTAACTACTTCTTTACCTGTTGTATTCCTTTATTTTTCTTCTTGCCTTTATGCTCTGGCTAGGAATTCTGGGACTATGTTGAATAGGAGTGGGGAGATGGGCACCCTTATCTCACTCCTGACTTCAGGGGAAATGGTTTCAATTTTTCCTCATAAAGTATGATGTTTGCTTTAGGTTTGTCATAGATAGCTCTATAAGTTGATACAATTCCTTCTATTTTAGTTTCCTTAGAGCTTTTATCATGAAGTGGTGTTGAATCTTATCGGAGGATTTTTCCACATCTATAGAGATGATCAAGTAATTTTTATCTTTGTTTCTGTTAATGTGTTATATTAAATTTGCATATGTTGATCCATCCCGAATCCCTGAGGCAAGCCGACTTGGTCATGGTGAATTACTGGAGAACATACATGTGGAAATTCTAGTTTCTGTGTTAGACCTACTGAATCTGAAACTATCGGGACAGGACCCAGAAATCTGCATTTCATAAACATCTTACAGGTAATTCCTAAGCACCATGCCAAAATTTGAGAACCATCACTTTAAGATTATTTGCGAATTTTTCAAATTCTTTGTTTCTTTTGGAAGATATTAAAATGGCCACAACATTGTGCTGCCCCATAATGGTCAAATTCCAGAACATTTCCTTCACTTGCAGTAGAAAGCCTGATATCCACAGTCATCCATTTTTCCCCACTCTCTTCTCTTTTGGAACCCATTAATCTTGTTTTCTGTCTCTATACAGTTGTCGATTTTGGACATTTCATATAAATAGAGTCAAGATATCATATGACCTTTTGTGCTGGCTTTCTTTGCTGTAGCATAATGTTTTCAATATGTACCTGTTGTAACATCTGTCAGTACCTTTTCATTTTTATGGTTGAATACTATTCCTTGTATTGATATGCCACATTTGTTTTTATCCATTCATCAAATTGGTGGAAAATTTAGGTTATTTCTACTTTTTAACTATAATGAAAATTATGTAAAAGTTTTGACGGGGTCTGGATTCTGATTTAATTGGGTCTCAGGTAGCATTCAGTGCACATAGCATTGGTATTTCTTAAGAGCTCTCCCTGATAACTCTAGTGTGAGGTCATGATTGAGAACCATGAGTGTAGAACCTTACTACTCAAATTGTATTGCCTAGGGAATCTCATGCCACCCAGGACCTACTGAATCAAAATTCACATTTTAATAAGATCTCCAAGTAATTCATGTGCTCATTGAGGAAGGGAGGCATTAGTTTAGGGAGCTAGTCTGTGTTCTTGGCTACAAATACATGCCCAACTAAATATGAAACTTACTGGGAACTTTATCCTGTGTGCATAATTCTACACTAAAATGACTAGAGAGTGTCATTTGAATTTCCTCTATGTCCCCAATGCCTAGCACAGTACACAGCACTAAGCAGGTGTGAGATAAAGATTTATGGAGTGAAAATGCCAGTGAGTTGCTGAGTCCTTCAGTGTGTGTAATGTGATATCAATGATATTGCTAGGCAATGGCTCTGGGAAAAATCTTTATGATCTTACACATCAGTTGCCTTCTCTGACTGTTCATTTTTTTGCTTTAAAATGGCTCCTCATAAATCTGACTAAAGATCCAATTACTTGACCACTAGAGGTTTGTATTAGTCAGGGTTCTCCAGAGAACATCAAAACATCAAATAGGATTTGTGTCATTATCTATCTTTCTATCTACCTACCTACCTATCTCTTTCTCTATCTGTCCATCCATCCAGCCATCCATTCATCATTCCCTCACTATATAATATCTCATTTATATACCTATAAAATGAGATATAAGAAATAGGCTTCTATGAAAATGGCGGCTTAGAAGTCCCACGATCTTCCATCTGCAATCTGGAGGCTCAGGGAATCCAGTGGCATAGTTGAAGGACTGAGAGCCAGATGATGTAGATTACAGTCCAGGTCTGAGGGCTTGAGAATCAGGAACACTGAGGGCAAAAGAAGACCTATGTCCCATCTCACACAGTCAGGTAGAGTGAATTCAACTTTCCTCTGCCATTCAGTTCCTTACCAGATTGCATGATATCCATCTATACTGGGGAGGGGCTTTTGCTTTGCTCACCTGGCCAATTAAAATGCTAATCTGTTCCAGAAATGTCTTCACAGAGACCCAGAAATAATGTTTAGCCACATATCTGGGAATCCAATGGCCCAGTGAAGTTGACATGTAAAAGAAACCATCACATAGTGGTAACTAAGACTGGCTGAGAGGTGTCTTTCTAGGTAATGCAACACTTTGGGTAGCCCCTCCACACAGTGGCTCAGGAATCTAGGTTGTTTTCTTAGGACAGCAAGTAAGATGAAGTAAGGGAAGGATCCAAGGTGTACAATTTAAGGAGGCTCTGACCCTCGGGTTCATGGCCACCTTATGTGCCTCTCCTTAGTCCTTGTCCTCCTTTGTCCAGCTAGTGGTCCCACCCTTGGACCTGCTTTACATCATGTTGGATAATTGGTTTTGATGTTAGTGTAGCAAAAACAATCTCATGTCTGTTTTTATGAAATAAGTTACAAGATTAGCCATTTTCCCCAGTCATAAAGACAAATGAAATTTTTTCATTCACAGGTAAATGGATGGAATTGGAGAACATCATGTTTCATGAAGTAAGCCAAATTCAGAAAGACAAAGGTCACATGTTTTCTCTCATTTGTGGAAGATAGATCCAAATACAAATATAAGCATCATATATATATGCAGAACATGTTTCCTAAAGTGGGACTGTTAATGTAGACTAGGGGAGGAAGAAAAGAATGATAGGTAGTGAAAAACATTGAAATATATGTCATTTGTATAGGAACAAGACACAACAGAATGCACTGAAAAGTGTTTATCAGTTGGGGTGGGGGGTAAGGATAAGGAAGAGTAATAGAGGAGGTTAGATTGACTAAAGTACAATGTATTCACACGTAAAATACCAAGGCAAAGAAACCCCCACTGAACAATGACCAGACAGTAAAACAATGAAGGATAGGAATGTAATATAGGTCATGTTAAGGGAAGGGTAATAGTGGGAAGGGGATGGTAAATAAAGAGGATAAAGGAGGATGAATATGGTTGAAGTACTTTTGATACATGTATGAATATTTTACATTGAAACCAGTTGAAGTCATTCCAAGAAAGGGAGAAGAGGGAGATAAATGGAGAGAATGAACCAAACTGGGGTACAATATATGGATACATGTTAAGATGGCTATCATCAAGACCCCAAACAACAATAAATGGTGAGGATACTGGGGAAAGGAACCCTTATACTTTGTTAGTGGGAATGTAAATTAGTACAACCTCTATGGAGGCAGTATGGAAGCTCTGCAAAAAAACTAAAAATAGAACTGCCTCAGCATGTAGAGAAAAAAAGAGTAGAAGAAAGAAATGAAGGAAAAGGAAAATGTGTGTGTGGAAGAATTAAAAAAGTAAGGAGAAAAAATTTAGAATGAAAGAAGGATGAACAAATTGGAACTTTGGTAAAAAGGAAAAATTTTTGTTAAATTCTGAATTTCTTCCTTTTGGAGGGGAGTGGGTTTCCTCTGTGGTCAATGAGTACACTGAATGCTCCCCTCCAATGACTGGTCCTTAGGTTTTAGTCTGCACCTCCCAGGCCATGCAAATCTGAGTTCATTCAGATAGAATCTTTCTCTTGGTTCCTGGGTTCCTGCCCCTCCTTAGGAGGTAGCAAATGGTGGTGCTCCCCCTCCTCTGGGTAGGTTTGGGGGGCTCCCCTCAGTCTGTTTAGCCAGAGGCTCCTCTTAGGGGTTCTGTTAGTTTCAGCTTACTTGGATGGGAGGCTTCTTGGAGGTGGTTTTCCAGGTTGAACAGGAAGCATGGTCTGTCCTCCCAACCCATCAAGTCTGGAACTTCATCTCAGGCTGGGATGGATGGACATAGGACAATAACGACAACCACAGTCAGATTCAACTCACTACTATGTGTCTTGGAGGTCGTCAAATGAATTATTGTTTCCCACAGGCTGGGTTTAGGCTTGATTGCCTGCACCAATATTGTCTTCTTTGTGTAGAGAAGTGCAGGCTGAGCAAAGAGCCATGACACCCCTCCCCGATGAGGCAGGGAGGGAGATTTCACTAGGTTTCTTAGGTCAAGGTTCATAAGCTGGTGGGGTACTATTAGATGCTGATAAGCTGAGCTGGGTGTGTGATAACCCTCAGGGCTGAATGGTTTGTAGGCACCTCTGGTATTGGAGTGCTTCTCAGGTCAGTGGGTGTGGCCAGTGGTCAGGGATTGTTCCCTTTTCCACAGTCTGGAACTCCCCTGTCTAATGGAAGGCTCACAGTCCTGTGTGTCAATTTTTAGAACTTAGGGTGGTATTCATGGATTGGAGGCTTCTCTGGTCCAGAAAAAAAAATAACACCTGCCAGGGGGCACTTTGTTCCTGGCAGCACCTGAGTTCCTGGGGTGGATTCGCACTTAAAAGGCTTATTAGAGGTTGGTCATTGTAGATATGGTTTGTCTATATATTGGCAACCTCTTATTTAGCAAAATAATCAGATCAACTACGCTTGCTGACAGGAACTTAATGTTATCTTCCAGGTTTGTGGTGTCTTGGTGATGGGGGTCTGTCAGCAATCCACCATCTTCAGATCTCTCTCCAGCCAAAACTTAGTATGATTATTTCTTCTTTTGTGTTACAGGTACCTTTTGTATTTGCAAATTAAAAGAGATATTTTTCATGGTCGACTGCTGTGCTCCTTTTCTGATGCTGCCTATCTAGGTGCCTGTATCGTTCAAGGTGAGTCTGGCCTCAGTGTGCCCATCTACACCATTATGGAACTTTGATACACTACTCCCTGCTCCACTCCAATCCTGCTTGTGTCTGTGGATGAAGGCCAGGTAGGACTGTGTTCTTAGCAACCATGCCTCCTACTCCCAAGCCAGTGGGATCCTGGTAGAAGGCTGAGCTGTTATGTTCACAGTGGCATCTGCAAATACAAAGGATCCTTGAAGGCCCCATAGTAGATCTCAGGGTCTTGTTTTCAAAGGGGTTGGACTGTATTGTTTAATGAAAAGCACTGAAGAGATGTGGGTATTCTATGTTCTGAGCTACATCCATCAGTTGTGAGGCCTGATGGACACATTGAGGGGGGAAACCATGTCTAAGAAGTTGGTTCCAAACAAGGAGGATCCCTTGATATATATATATATTCATATTTTATCTTGTGTATAGATGCACATGTACACTGTGTCTAATTCCTTCGCTTTTCTAGCCATATGATAAGGTGAGGAGACCATTGGCTCACAATGTGTTGTACCTCAGTTTAATCTTCCTTCCCCTTTCCTAGTTATTTCACCATAGACAGATTACTTGAGTACTTTAGTTTCGGTATCTCCACGTGTTTGGTGGAGTCTTCATACCTTCTTCCTGGGAAGTGTGATTTCGTAAGACTAAGCCGCACCAGGCTGGAAGAAATTCAGGCCCATCACTGGTAGTTGCTTCTCTTTGGAAAGCTGAATAAGCCCTAGGGGTTGGGGCAGTGGAAAGCAGTGAGTTTACCCACCTGGGTTGGCTTATGGATGCTTCTACCTTGTTGGAACAGTCTTTAAGGGAAGGCAGACTCTAGGACACCAGAGCTATTCTTCACTTGGGTGAATGTGCCCAGCATCCAAGTAAAAAATGACTCAGGTGTTCTGTTCTCCTGGGTTTGTTGGAAGGTAGCTGGCTGCAGAAACTTTTGGAGGGACTTTGATCATCTAGCCATTTGTATCATGAATGGTAATGATATTCTTATGAGAGAGAAGGAGGAGAGGGTAGAGAGAAGAGGGAGGAAGGGGGAGAGAAAACAGAGAGAGAGAAAGAGAGAGAGAGAAGAAAGAATGAATATTACTGAGTGTCTGAATGTGTCAATATTGCAGTGCATCCAGAAAGAAGAACAGAGCTTGTGATGGGCCATAAGCTGGTCACAGGTCTTCCTATTACAATGCCAAGCTTCATTCACCGCTTAAGAGAGAAACTTGTCTTTCTAGGGATCTCACAGTGGCCCCCCTCTCCATCCCTGTGGGATGCCCTGTGCTGTGAAATACTTCATTTGGCCCTATTTGTTGCTTTTCTCCCTTTCCTGTTGGTGCCGTAGTGCTGGAGCAGATTTTGGCAAAGGTGTTAAACTCCTTGGGGATATTCTAGTTTAACATGGTCAGAACTATGGTAACCCTGTTATGGGAAGTAATCCTATGAGCTCTGAGGTGAGAATGTGCTTCTGAAAGCTACCTTTTACCAGAGTGAAGGCATGTTAAAACCTTGTACTTCTCTTCTCTTATGGTGAGCATGGCACATTCCTAGTTAGGGTGCTCATCTCAGGAAGGGGAAAGGGAATCAATACTAATCCAAGCAACAGGCCAGCAGAGGAAGATTTCAGAATGCATTTAGGCATTAATGAGTTAACTGTCAATTCTCCAAGGGTAAGCTCAATACACATTTATAATGCTCTTCATCCTGTTACATTTGAAATAAAGCCACAAAGGCACCATGCAGACAAGCAGGGCCCTTTATCATCATCCCTCATTGCTAGTGTCACTGACCATACACACATACACACACACACACACACACACACACACACACACACACACACACACACACACACAGAGTGGAGAAAGCAGAATTGGAAATGGATGAGAAGACCTTGACAGGACCTTTTGCTTCTAAAATGCAGTGGTACCTGTGGGTTATTTGTAGCAAGTTCAGTGAAAGCTGGGTTGTTAAAGTTCTGTGATGCTCAGGGTAATGATAAACAGTTCTGAAGGAAATTAACAAATACAGATTGAGATGGGCTCTGTCAGGGCCACTTATTCTTACAGAGTGATAGGGAAGGTGGAGTTCCTGATTAGAAAGTGGGAGGCCACTTGGTGTTTCATTGTCTTGTTTGCTAGTACCTTTTTAAGGAGTGTGTTTTAAGCTTCAGTATATTTTGAATGTATAAATAACAGCCACAGTTTTGCTACTTATAGTTATGGAATCCAATGAATGTATTTAATACATGCAAAATGCATTTTCTTTCATAATACAAATTGCAAAACACTCAAAGGCTTCGGGATCTATTTATATCCTTTGTAAAAATTTCTTCCCTATTCCTTCTAGAAAACATCACCATGGGGGGATTAACTTGTCTGTTCTGCTTGATGAGTCTAATTCACCTGGATTTTGGATCCTGCTAGATATCAGAACTCAGTGCATCTGTCCCTTCCTCCATTCCTGGTCCACTCCATCTAATGCAGTCTTCAACACATCATTCTTTCTCACATCCCGGTTCTGTTGTCTTTCAGACATGTATATCTGAAAAATCTCGATGAGTAGTTTGGGGCTTTATTGTGCTTTTTCTTTTGTGTAAGTTAGCTTTCTGTCACTATAACAAATACTGAGATGAACTTATAAAGGGAAAAGGGTTACTTTGGATAACAGCTTCAGAGGTTCCAGTTCATGATCTAATTATTGCATTATTGTTTTGGTCCTGTGGCAAGGCAGCACATCATGGCAGGAGCACATGGCAGAGGAAAACCACTTATATCACAATCAAGAATGCAAAACCAAAGAGACTGGAATCCCCTAATACCCTTTGAGGCTCCCCAGTGACCTAAAGACCCCCCACTAGGCCCTGATACTTAAGGTTTCCACCACTTTCCAATAACACCAAGCTCAGGACCAAGCACTTAACATACAGTCTTTGGGAGAGACATTCCAGATCTTATGTTGGATCTAATTCCTACTGTCATCATTAATCCCTTTTGGCCCATCTACTGATTAATTGATTTTCCTAAAGGCAACAACTGGGTTCACATACATCTTTTTTTTTTTTTTTTGTATTTTAAAAATTGCTTTGTTTGGGGATTATTTGTTACCAAGGCACAATTTTCTTTTGGGATTAGTTTTGAGAAATGGCTAGAATTTTTTAAGTTACTACTTATTAACAGCTCATGGTTACACTGTGCTCATCCCTTTATAGATACCAAGAAGTATATTTATTTTACAGATGAGAAGGTGATATCCAGAGATTAAATCACTTGTCTGAGTTCCTTTAGCCAGTCAATGTCGGGTTAGGATATTTACTTATCTATCTACCTATCTATCTATCTATCTATCTGGTACACATGTATGTTTGTCTTTGCAAACGGCCTTGTAACACAATTAGTATTGTTCATGTTCATATACTTTTACATTTCACAAATTAAATGAGACTATAGAACTCATTTTATGACTTTCTTTTTGTGCTCAGAATACTGTTTTGGGATTATCTATGTTGCTAAGAGTATTTCTTGTTGTTTTTAACCACCACAGTGTCCTTCCTGCAGGGTGTATCTCCCATCTCCATCCTTTATTTTTTTATTTATTATTTTATTATTCATATGTGCATACAAGGCTTGGCCCATCTCCATCCTTTACTCATCAGTCCTACCAACCATGAATTGTTTCCCACTTCTGATGATCATGACTGATGCCGTAATAAAAACCTTGAGCATATCCTTTTTTTTTTTTTACACCTAGAGCTTTTCTAGGATATATGCCCAAAAGAGGGATTTCTGAGTCATAATATTGGACTAACTAAATACTCCCACCTTGCTCTCTAGAAGACCTACATGTATCAAGAATCTTCAGAAGTGCACAAATACTTCTGTTGCCTCGCATCTCTGCCAACTCCTAATTTTTTTTTGGCAATGTTATAGATGTAAAGTGACATCTTGTTTTGGCTTGCATATCTCTGCTTACTATTGAGTTTGAGTATCTCTCCATGTGCTAGTCCTTTGCATTTCCTCTTCTGTGAATTGCCTGTTCATATCCCTTGACCATTTCTCCATTGATCTTCCTGTCTATTTTCTTATTTATTTGCAGGTATTTCTTTTTTATTTTAGATGACAGCCCTTGTCAACGTTAGGTTTTGTGAATACAATTTTTCAGCTTGACATCTCTCTTACTTTGGTATCATGTCCTTTAATGAACAGAAACATTTACATTTTAATATTATCAAATTAATCAATTTCTCCCATATAATCAATAGTATTTTTGGTCTTATTTTAAAAATCCTATGTTATTTTGGGCAATTTGAATTCTGTTAAGAATCTTTAATGAACATTGTTGTCCTCATGGATTTGTCCTTTTATTGTCATTAGATGATTTGGCAATAAAGGAACAGTAGATCAGAATTACAAAGCTGTATGTGAGTTTTTGGATGTGCTCTAATTATCCTTATTTTTTCTATTTCAAAGTCTTACTGGTGATTAGTTTTGCCTAATACAGTTTTCTCATCTTTAGTCTACTCTTCTGGGCTGTATCCACTGTTTTCGCCTGAGATACTTGCTCCTTCTGGCTTGCTTTCGTTAACAAGCTTATAGAATCAGTAAGAAGTATTTCTACTGCTAGGCTCTTGGGGTGCTTGGAGAAGTATAGGCATTTCTTTTTATCCTTGAAGGTTCTCTATGTTACAACATAGCAACAACCTTAATCCAATATGCTATTTAGTTCTTAGATATATACTCTTTAATTTAAAGAGAAATCTACTTATTTTTAAGTGCAATCTCCTTCATGCTGTGATTTCTTTTCATTGAATGAGTCACACTGCACAAACCCTAGCCTGCAGTTCCAGCCAGGAAATTCTTGGACTTAGAAACTATATTAGCTATGAATGGAACCCTGAGAAAGGTTTGGAAATATTGGGGAAACATTTAAAATATTTTAATTTAAAATTTTCACCATCAACAAATGGACATTTTATGTACCTCTAGTGTACTGTGTGATGTTTTGAAATATGCACATGTTGTAGTATAGTTAAGTTGAGCTCATTAACATATCATTAGCTCACATGCTTACCATTTTCTGTGATGAGAAGACTTAAAATCTACTCTTAGGACTTTCAAGTATATTATACATTGTTATTAACTGTAGTCATCACTGATCTCTTGAACTTATTTCTCCTGTCTTAACTGAAATTTTATATCCTTTGACTAACTTTTGGAGGTTGGTATTATTGATGGTCACAATGAGTGTGCTATTAACATTTAGTGCTTGAAGGGTAGAGAAGCTAAACATCCTACAATTCCTTGAGAAATCTGAAACAATAAAATTATTCAAAGGCCAACAGTGTTTCCATTGAGAATGGTATGATCTAAGTTGATTTAGTATATAGAAAAAGCAACTGAGACCCAGAGAGGGTTGACAAGTACCCAAGCTCACATAACTAAATCTTAACCTGGATAGCATCTCTAGATACTGAGGTTGTGGTCTTTCCATGGGTACAATTACATTTTATTGGTGAGCACATTCCAAACTTTTTTGAATAGCAAGAGACATTCAATATACATTCTGCTCATATTGTTTTAAATTTTCTCTTTTTCTTTTCCTTTTACTGGTTACAGCTGAACTTGGTGATTATGATCCTGATGAGCATCCTGAAAATTACATCAGTGACTTTGAAATTTTCCCAAAGCAGTCACAGAAGCTGGAAAGAAAAATCATGGAAATTCATAAAAATGATCTCAGGTATTATGGGTAGACATTTGTGAGATCATAGAGGTGAGAAAGTATTCTTACTATGGGGAATGTGGAAATCACATGAAGAAAAATATTTGTAACACGTGGGTAGAGTGGCAGTATTTCTGGGCCCTTCAGTCTCACCCTGATGTCATCTGTCAGTGATAATCTCAACAGTGTGAGATCTCCTAGGTGGCCTTTTATGAACCATCAACAGTTATTACAACTGTATATCTCCTTTTTTTCTTTTATTTATATGTGCATACAATGTTTGGGTCATTGTACTGCCTACACCCTTACCCCTCTTTCTCTGCCCTTTCCCCCTTGCTACCAGGCAGAAACTATTTTGCCCTTATCTCTAATTTTGTTGAAGAGAGAGTATAAGCAATAATAGGAAGGACCAAGGGTTTTTGCTAGTTAAGGTAAGGATAGCTATACAGGGAGTTGACTCACATTGATTTCCTGTGCATGTGTGTTGCCTTCTAAATTAATTCTTCTTGAACTAACCTTTTCTCTACTTCCTGGTTCCCTTCTCCTATTGGCCTCAGTTGCTTTAAAGTATCTGCATTAGTTTCTGTGCATTGAGGGCAACAAATGCTATCTAGTTTTCTGGGTGTCTTACCTATCCTTACCCCTCCCTTGTATGCTCTCGCTTTATCATGTGATCAAAGTCCAATCCCCTTGTTGTGTTTGCCCTTGATCTAATGTCCGCATATGAGGGAGAACATACGATTTTTGGTCTTTTGGGCCAGGCTAACCTCACTCAGAATTATGTTCTCCAGTTCCATCCATTTACCTGAGAATGATAATATTTCATTCTTCTTCATGGCTGCATAAAATTCCATTGTGTATAAATACCACATTTTCTTAATCCATTCATCAGTAGTGGGGCATCTTGGCTGTTGCCATCACTTGGCTATTGTGAATAGTGCTGCAATAAACATGGGTGTGCAAGTGCCTCTGGAGTAACCTGTGTCAAATTCTTTTGGGTATATCCCCAAGAGTGGTATTGCTGGATCAAGTGGTAGATCAATGTTTAGCTTTTTAAGTAGCCTCCAAATTTTTTTCCAGACTGGTGGTACTAGTTTACGTGCCCACCAGCAGCGTAAGAGGGTTCCTTTTCCCCCTGCATCCTCGCCAACACCTGTTAAATGGTGTTGCTAATGATGGCTATTCCAACAGGGGTGAGGTGGAATCTTTTTATTTTTATTGTTTTATTATTCATATGTGCACACAAGGCTTAAGTCATTTCTCCCCCCTGCCCCCAACCCTCCCTTACCACCCACTCCACCCTCTCCCTCTCCCACAACCCCCTCAATACCTGGCAGAAACTATTTTGCCCTTATCTCTAATTTTGTTGAAGAGAGAGTGTAAGCAATAATAGGAAGGAACAAGTGTTTTTGCTGGTTGAGATAAGGATAGCTATACAGGGAGTTGACTCACATTAATTTCCTGTGCATGTGTGTTACCTTCTAGGTTAATTCTTTTTGATCTAACCTTTTCTCTAGTTCCTGGTCCCCTTTTCCTATTGGCCTCAGTTGCTTTTAAGGTATCTGCTTTAGTTTCTCTGCGTTAAGGGCAACAAATGCTAGCTAATTTTTTAGGTGTCTTACCTATCCTCACCCCTTCCTTGTGTGCTCTCGCTTTTATCATATGATCAAAGTCCAATCCCCTTGTTGTGTTTGCCCTTGATCTAATGTCCTCATATGAAGGAGAACATATGATTTTTGGTCTTTTGGGCTAGGCTAACCTCACTCAGAAGGATGTTCTCCAATTCCACCCATTTACCTGCGAATGATAACATTTTGTTCTTCTTCATGGCTGCATAAAATTCCATTGTGTATAAATACCACATTTTCTTAATCCATTCATCAGTAGTGGGGCATCTTGGCTGTTTCCATAACTTGGCTATTGTGAATAGTGCTGCAATAAACATGGGTGTGCAGGTGCCTCTGGAGTAACCTGTGTCACATTCTTTTGTGTATATCCCCAGGAGTGGTATTGCTGGATCAAGTGGTAGATCAATGTCTAGCTTTTTAAGTAGCCTCCAAATTTTTTTTTCTAGAGTGGTGGTACTAGTTTACATGCCCACCAATAGTGTAAGAGGGTTCCTTTTTCCCCATATCCTTGCCAACACCTGTTGGTGGTGGTGTTGCTAATGATGGCAATTCTAACAGGGGTGAGGTGGAATCTTAGTGTGGTTTTAATTTGCATTTCCTTTATTGCTAGAGATGGTGAGCATTTTTTCATGTGTTTTTTGGCCATTTGAATTTCTTCTTTTGAGAAAGTTCTGTTTAGTTCACATGCCCATTTCTTTATTAGTTCATTAGTTTTGGGAGAATGTAGGTTTTTAAGTTCCCCATATATTCTGGTTATCAGTCCTTTGTCTGATGTGTAGCTGGCAAATATTTTCTCCCACTCTGTGGGAGGTCTTTTCAATTTAGAGACCATTTCTTTTGTTGAGCAGAAGCTTTTTAGTTTTATGAAGTCCCTTTTATCGATGCTATCTCTTAGTTGCTGAGCTGCTGGGGTTCCATTGAGAAAGTCTTTGCCTATACCTATTAGTTCCAAAATATTTCCTACTCTTTCCTGTACCAACTTTAGATTTTGTGGTCTGATATTAAGATCCTTGATCCATTTTGAGTTAATCTTGGTATAGGGTGATATACGTGGATCTAGTTTCAGTTTTTTGCAGACTGCTAACCAGTTTTCCCAGCAGTTTTTGTTGAAGAGGCTGTCTTTTCTCCATCGTATATTTTTAGCTCCTTTGTCAAAGACAAGTTGGTTATAGTTGTGTGGCTTCATATCCGGGTCCTCTATTCTGTTCCACTGGTCTTCATGTCTGTTTTTGTGCCAGTACCATCTGTTTTTATTGCTGTTGCCTTGTAATATAGTTTAAGTCAGGTATCGTGATATCTCCAGCGTTATTCTTTTGACTGAGTATTGCCTTGGCTATTCGTGGCCTCTTGTGTTTCCATATAAATTTAACAGGAGATTTTTCAATTTCTTTGATGAATGTCATTGGGGTTTTGATGGAAATTGCATTAAACATGTAGATTACTTTTGGGAGTATCGACATTTTTACTATGTTGATTCTACCAATCCATGAGCATGGGAGATCTCTCCACTTTCTATAGTCTTCCTCAATCTCTTTCTTCAGAAGTTTATAGTTTTCCTTGTAGAGGTCATTCACATCCTTTGTTAAATTTACACCTAGATATTTGATTTTTTTTGAGGCTATTGTAAATGGTATTGTTTTCATAATTTCTTTCTCAGTTTGTTCATTATTAGTGTATAGAAATGCTAATGATTTTTCTATGTTAATTTTATATCCTGCTACCTTGGTATTGCTGTTGATGGTGTCTAGGAGCTTTTGAGTAGAGTTTTTTGGGTCTTTAAGGTATAGGATCATATCATCTGCAAATAGGGATATTTTGACAGTTTCTTTACCTATTTGTATTCTTTTTATTCCTTCTTCTTGCCTAATTGCTCTGGCTAGGAATTCCAGTACTATGTTGAATAGGAGTGGAGATGTATATGTTCTTATACATATAGGTTTCTAAATACACTGAGTTTCTGAAAGTGAAATCTAAGATAAATAAGCAATCATTTCCTATTTGAATTTTGTATCACCTTTTCCCCTTCTGTAGCCATTTCTGGATGTATCAATTTCAAATAAGTCAAATCCATTTGCCCAGCTGCTTTCAAGATGACAAGATTTAGTGTCTTTTCTCATTTTCTTGTCTACAATGCTTCTGGATGATAACTAGAGTTGTAGTTGAGGTACATGTACCAAAAATCCTGGAGTTCTCACTATGTACCATATGCTAATATAAGCACTTTGCACACATTAACTCATTTAATCTTTACAACAACCTAGGAAAACAGTTCTGTGTTTTTTCCCTATTACAGATGAGAGAACTGAGGCATAGAGAGGTTAAGTAACTTACTAGTAATTGTCAGATGCAGAAGTTGAATTCAGGCAGCCTGAGTATAGAACATACGCTCTTGAGCATTGTGCTACATAGGCTATAGGGAATAAAATAAAGCATGTTTAAGAGTCATCACCAATTTGGAATTCAGATAACTCAGGTATTCTAGTCTATAATTAGAATTTAGATACTGTGCAAATCACAGAAAAAATTATTTTGATAATAATAGCAAGTATAGGAAGTGTTAAGACAAGTACTAATGAAGAACTGCAAGATCTGGAATGTTTCTATCTTCTGGGCCTCTAGTAATCATAGAGAAAACAGTTACTGGATTATGAATTTTGAGAGGGTGTGCTATAGTTCTCTACATTGTGCAGGCGCTCCCCCTTCTGGTGAACCTGAGAAGAGTTTCGGTAGCCAGAACATGGTGCAAAGATGTGCATTATTCCACTCAAACCCTCCCAAAGTCTACCAGGCAGCCACTATGAGTGTTCTCAATGAGGGATAGGAAAATACAGGCTGGAGAGGCTAAAGGACTTGCTCTGTTAACTAGAATCAGCTAGGACTTGAACTTTGGGTTGTCTGATACTAATGTGAGGACAATACCTCTGTTCTGAGCAGTTGCTTCACAATGTTACCATGGCAGTAGTTCCCAAGGATGGACACTGGAGAAAGGATGAGTTGGTAATTTCTGCCATTCAGAAAATAGGAGAGGAAATTGAAAGAAGAGAATCTTGAGAGATGTTGCAGCAAGACTTGTTGACTCACTGGACTTTATGAGGAAACAGGTAGATAAAAGAAGATTCCAGATTGTTTTTTAACAATCAGAAAGTTATAAATTGGGACCTGGACCAATTGTGCCAGGACCTGGGTTTGTTGTGCCTCTGACAGTGATCACCATGATTTGGGGTTTATCAGTTAGTCATGTTTTATGTGTCTCAGAGTGAGGTCCGTGGCTTGATTGAGGCTGCAGTTCTCTCCCTCTGTAGCATCCAGAAAGCTCTTGAAGTGGGTCAGAGTCATAGTTTTGAGGGATGAACTTGCCAGGCATTCATGTGATATTGTAAGGACAGCATC